AATGGTCTCCGAAACTTGGAAGTTATCTTTCTTTGCTTAATATAAATTGAAGTATGGAAGATAAAGGAATACAAGTTGCAATAGGATCGAAACGTGGGCTGAAAAGTGCAAAAACCAGTGCTTGTAGTGAAACCACAACATTAGAAACAGGGAAAGAGGAACGTGCTACGCAATGTGGAATGTCTCTTAAAGGGAGTTATGGTCGCAACTGTGAACACAAGAAGTGGCGATACGACAACCTGGTAGCGCAAATGCAGGACAAAGAAATGCTGGTGTACTGGTTAATGGATGAAGGGCTTATGGCGAAGGGACGTTCGTGTCCGATGTGTGCTGGAGAAATGAGTTTGACGAGGTGCGAGGATCGATCGGATGGTTTGAAGTGGGAATGCAGAAAGCAAGTTAACGGTAAAAGACACAAGGCAGAAGTTTCGATTAGGAAAGGAAGCTGGTTCGAGAAGAGCAATATGACTTTAGAAGAAATTTTGAAGTTGACATACTGGTGGTGCCAGGATCTTGATCAGGCGCAAATAAAACATGAAGTAGGACTTGCGGAAAGCACTGGGGTGGACTGGGACAGCTTCTGTCGCGAAGTTTGCGAAATAATTCTACTTGAAAACGGTGAAAAACTGGGCGGAAAAGGAAAAGTGGTACAGATCGACGAGAGTAAATTTGGCAAGAGGAAATACCACCGAGGTCATCACGTCGAAGGCCAGTGGGTCTTTGGAGGAATCGAGGAGGGCACCAGGAAATGTTTCGTCGTAGCAGTTGAAAAACGGGACGAACAAACACTACTGCCCATTATCCAAAAATGGATTGAACCTGGAACTATCATTGTTTCTGATTGCTGGAAAACGTACTCTACACTTGACAAACATGATTATGAACATCGAACAGTTAATCATTCGGTAGAATTTGTCAACAAAGAAGGTGACCATACCAATAAAATTGAAGGTCATTGGAGGCATGCAAAGTGTAAACTACCAATGTTTGGCGTTCGAAAGCATCTTTTCTCCACATATTTGGCTGAATTTATGTGGAGGTACATGCACCGCGATAACGATTTGTTTAGTGTATATTTAAAAGATGTAAAGAAAGTTTATGATATCACTACAGAAAAGCTTTTACTTTTAAAAGCGTGTTAAGAATGTATGATGAAGCGAAGAAATATGTATGATTGATTCTCCATCGCTTTCTCAAAGAACGTAGAATGCTTCTTGTTATTATTGATATAAATGTACGATTAAGCTACAAATACGTATGATTAAATCTCCATCGCTTTTTCAAAGAACATGGAATGGTTCTTGTTATTATTGAAAGTGAATGTAAAGGTCTATTAGGCGGTCACCCTCGGGAGTGAGCCAAGTGAAAGGTTGATAGAGGTTTACCGGCCAAGTTAAGAGCAAGTTGTGTTTTATGATGTTTTGAAAGCAATTGTAATTGTTGAGGGAATGAGTGTTTCAAAATATCCTGAAATAAAGCATTGATTTTAACTATGTGGATGCTTAAAAGATGTGAAATACAAGAAAATTAGCCAATTGGGTATTCTAAAAGGTTGCCGCTTATGTCGACTGCGGGACTACGGTAGCAAGGAAGAACGAGATGAAAACCAACGCGTATGTTGCAAGAGACGAACCTCAACACTTACTACGATGTTTAATATAATGCATATATTAATAATGCAGATACTAAGCACGATGTTTAATATAATGCAGATGTTAGGTAAAGTATGTAAAGTATGTCGACTGCGGTACTGCGGTAGCAGAATTTGATGAATGATTTTTCAGTGGCCGGGTGTTTTGAAGTTTAGCCCGTTCGATTCTTCTCGATTATTTCTACATTGAGTGAGTTCATATCATTATTTATATCATCTTCAAACCATTGATCTATTAAATGAAACCATTGTCCAGAAGCCGAACCCTGCGCGTTCTCTTAAGACTGCAATCGGGCAAGCCAGCAGATTCTCTTTACAAGCCAATAACAATTCGCAAAATATCCACGTGATCATGCCCGTGGGCTGTAGACAGAGAAACCTTCATTTGGCGTTCATCTTTGAATGTACTTTTCATCCATTGATCGCTCATGCGTAAGTTATTTCTTTTCTCGACTGTTTTGCAAATACGACATCTCTAAAGATGGGTTTTACCGTTGATCAATGGGAAAACGAGAATAGCGCGAGTGTTGTTAATGCGGTACTTCAAAGAA